TATATATATATATATATATATATATATATATATATAAATATATACACGTATACACACACATACACACACACGATGAAACGCAATAGAAGCAGTACATGAACGCACACGTACGCGAGAGCCTCATGCATGCGATATAAAGCTGTTTGCCAACACACCCAAACACACTAGTTCTGGTCTGTGTTCGGCGCAGGTGTGTCTACCTACCTGTCCAGCCCTTGATGACCTGGTTGGGTGCAAATTTGGTCGGTTGGCCGCGTGCATAGCTTGAGTCGAACACCTTGCCATCAATAAACTTGCCCTCGTAGTGGCAGTCGCAGGGCGTGTTGACTAACGGAGAGGGTCCGTCACCCGGTCCTGAACTGAATAAACAGGTGCAGGTGAGATAAGCGGGTATTTGGGCCACTGGTTTGGGACTTCATACCACCGTTGGCGTTAGCTTTAGGGACAATAAACTTATCATATTTTTTTCCACAACGTGCATGCAGCAAATATAGTAGCGACCCTATACCAGACTGCATCATTGGACTCCAGTTGGGGTGTGTCACTAGAGACCGAGCATTGCAGTAATAGAAAGGAATATGACACAAACGGATTATAGGTATACTAGTTATAGTCAAACGCACAGACACCGTCCAATATGAACACAGTCTGTAACAAGTGACTATGTGTATTCATTTGCGAAATACAAGTAGATATAAAACAACTATATGCAGAAACATATCATTTATAGTTCACAGAAAAATCGAGGCATACCTAAGTACTTTGTACTGAAGACCAGATGCCAGAGTGATCACACCTTCCTTGTCTTTATTCTCATACAAAAACTTCAAACCTTCAGGCGTCGTACCGGCATACACCACAGCCGATAACGCGATCAGTATGGCCAAAAAGAATCTCATGCTGATACTATAGTAGAGGGATGGTCTATGTACTATTCGATATGTCCGTACTGTATGACTGTATGTATTTATATTGATATGCTACACACGTGCCTACTATACACAGACTTCTTAATTAGTAGTATATAGGGGTTAAAAATGAAACATGAAGCATACATAGCCTTATCATTTTTCTAGGTGGCTATGCGTGAAGGCTATAACTTTGATAAACGACACTTTCGTTGTGACATTTGTTGATAGTAAACCCTGGAAGCCAAACCCTACATGTCTATTTATAGACTAGTACGAGGAAGGGTCACACGCCAATTTTATTTTTCCACGCGAAAAGTACCGAAACCAGTATGTATCTAAGCTTGGGGATAGAAGCTGATATAACTTACAGTTAAATACATCGCAAACACGCACTCACAGAGTAAGTTTATATAT